AGTGTCCTTTTGGTATGTTTATAATCAAAAGTTTATATCCAATTTTCATGTGAAGTAAAAGCTACTATGATCTGTTACTTTGCAGTTGCCTTTGGTCAACATTTGTCGAAGTACAGGGCCTAGCACTAAACTGATAAACGTTTGCAATATGTATTATTTATCTCAGAAAGATGCTGCAGAATTGGATCAGGATTTATTTAATGAATATAAGTTTAGTGTAGATCAACTAATGGAATTGGCAGGTTTAAGTGTTGCTGCTGCGATTGCTAAGACTTTTCCACCATCTACGTAAGTATATTTACTATGATATTGAATAAATTTGAATATCAATAATGTCAACATTTTTAGACTTATTGTACTTATCAATTGCTTTATGTGCATTATTTATTTATCCTTATAATATTTTTCAGACATAATTCAGCCTTAATTATCTGTGGTCCTGGAAACAATGGTGGGGATGGATTAGTGGCTGCTCGCCATATGACATTATTTGGATATAATGTTTCAGTTCATTATCCAAAAAGAACACCAAAACCTTTATATGAAAATCTGCTCCATCAATGTGAACAATTTGGTGTCCACATAGTAGAAAAGTTACCACAACCCAATGAATTACGAAATGATTATAAAGTATTGGTTGATGCTCTCTTTGGCTTCAGTTTTAAACCACCTGTTAGAGAAGAACTGAAACCTGCTCTGGATGCCTTAATTGAAGGGGGATTGCCTGTCTGCAGGTGAAAAATTACACATATATTAGTAATAACTATGACAATGTATGGTATGCTACTACTAAATTATTACTTTTTTCAGTGTTGATATTCCAAGTGGCTGGGATGTAGAGAAAGGGCCAATATCTGAGAAGTCCTTAAAGCCTGCACTGTTAATATCATTATCAGCACCAAAGCAATGTGCTAAGCAAGAATTTATCGACACAGCCAAGCATTTCTTAGGTGGCCGTTTTCTGCCACCCGGTATTATTACTAAATATAATTTAAAACTTCCTGAATATCCGAACCAAGATCAAATTGTAGAAATATGTTAATTTTATATGATAATGTAAATAGTTATTGTATTTGGCTTAAATAATGATAAAAATAAATGTTTATACAATTAATTTGTTGTCTAAATAATATAGGACCATGTCCTCCTCACTGTGTCCCATAACCATTTTTCTTTAAGTATGCAGTATTTATTTATTTTTTATACATGCCAATTCTTTATTAATAACTTTGAACAACACTTTTACAACGAAAATAACATTCCAGTACAATTTATAACATTGTTATAATAATCTGCAGACACTGAAACCCATTCTTTTCTTAACCCATAATTCGATGGTGTCCAGTGTGACGAATAACTAATTAAAAAAATCTACTAAACTAGTTTAGAGAAAATTAAGTTAGTATGACTTTACTAAAAAAACAGTTTTTTTACTACAAAAAATTAAGGGTTAATAATCTACAATATTGTTTCTGAACGTTTCTCTTTCAAGATTTTATATACTCTTTGTTCAAGAACTTGACGTTTGTTTGACATTCGATTGTGACATTTAACAATTTTCGCGCGGTTTTACCGGTGTCTATATTGTCATTTTGCTAACGTCGGCGTCTTGAAAAAGGGCAATAAACTTTTTGTGATTAATTTAATTGAACCAATCTAAAATTAATAATTTTCTTTGTGTTTTAGCTTTTGTTAGTAACAGCAAGTAAGTTTTGTCGTATCAAGTCCTTAAAGAACTTGTGTTTGTACTTGGACTTTCTTCTAAGTTAAAAAAGACGTTAGGACGTTGGCTAATTTTCTTTTTTGGTAGAAATAATTTAATGAAGCATTCATATTACAAAAGATCTACAAATTGTCCAATTTATTTGTAGATTAAGATGTTTGAGGCAAGATTACTTCGCAGTTCCATTTTGAAGAAGGTTTTGGAGGCGATAAAGGATCTTTTAACACAAGCCACGTTCGATTGCGATGACAATGGAATACAATTACAGGTACTCTTATTAGATTCTCACTTAATGATAAGTTAAAGCTACATCTAATTCAAAACACATCGCGTAGTATTATTGTTGTAACTAAAAATTAGCTTTGTCATTTAGCATATTCAATAGTAAGGTTATGATCATGTTCTTGTTTTCATGTTAAATTAGGATGGGTAGGTAAAAAAAACGAGCGCAAAGTTTGTTGTTTTTTGTTTTACCCACATTTTGTACATCTTAGTATTTAAGAAAACTCATTTCATTAATAAAATGTAATAGCTTAGCTTTAAATAAACACAAAAACTGATTGGTTACATATGTAGTTGTATCAATTTTTTTTGTTGGCTCAAATGTTTGCCAATTACCGTTAGTGTACAGCAGTGTCTTTTTTTATTTTTATTTCACTTTCAGGCTATGGACAATTCACATGTGTCACTGGTTTCACTAACATTACGAGCAGATGGATTTGATAAATATAGATGTGATAGAAACATATCTCTGGGTATGAATTTGAGTAGGTAAGTCAATGTCAGCATTTTCTACTTTTCTTAATTTCACTAATAGTGGGTTTCTGATACCAAAATCTCTGTATAAAACATATCATGCCTGTTATTATCTTTGATAACAATATGTTTTAAACAGACATTTTGGACTCGGAAACCCACAGTTACACTAGTATTGTCAGAGAGCCAAAGATTAATTTTGTTATTCAATGTTTAGAAGAAAAATAGTCAAACATTTTTTAACAGTAACTCAACAGTTGTGTGTTGTCTGACCTTAGTAAGCAATTCATAACTCCCAGAGCATCAGTAATAGTGTAAATGTGATATTTCAGTATGTCAAAGATCCTGAAGTGTGCAGGAGATAAGGACACGGTGACAATGAAAGCGCAGGACAACGCTGACACCGTGACCTTTGTGTTTGAAAGCCCCAATCAGGAGAAAGTATCTGATTATGAAATGAAGCTCATGAATTTAGATCTTGAACATTTAGGTGAGTTGTGCAAATAATTTGAAGTTTTCAACATTTCTAGATTTTTATTTGAAATTTGTTATAATTAATAAATTCAGCACTATCAAATTGCCTGGTGAGTACCAAAAAAAATTGTGTCATGGATTTATATAAATTTTGACTGAAGTGTTCATATTTTCTGCTAGTTTAACTAAAATTATTGATAAACATAGAAATAAGTATTTAATTTGTTCAGGAATTTTAACTATTGTAATAATAAATGTACTGATTTTATGAATTTAATTGATTTCATAGTAATGTTATTGCTACTTAGTAATATAATCAGTTAAATAAATATGTTTATATTACAGGCATTCCTGAGACAGAGTACAGTTGCACGATTCGCCTGTCCAGTGCCGAGTTCGCGAGGATCTGTCGTGATCTCTCACAGTTTGGGGAGTCTATTGTCATCTCATGTACTAAAGAAGGTAAATAACATCATAAAAGAACTATTCATTAAAAAAATATTACCTATTTGATTAAATATTAAATTGCAAGGAAAATTTGAGATATAGATGATATAACTTTATGTTTGTACATGCTTTAAAATAACCCCTTTCATACACATATTTATTGCCATGCTTTGGTTGACTTTTTTCTTTATTTTTGCAGGAGTGAGATTCTCTGCATCTGGGGATATTGGTTCAGCCAACATCGCGCTGGCACAGACGGCTTCCGTGGACAAGGAGGAGGAGGCGGTGGTCATTGAGATGGAGGAGCCAGTCACCCTTACCTTTGCCTGCCAGTACCTAAATTACTTCACCAAAGCCACATCCCTCAGTCCACAGGTAAATTATAACAATACTAGCCGTCGCCTGCGACTTTGTTCGCGCGGAAGTATAAAAAAAACTTAATTATAGCCTATGTTTCTTCCAGTCTATATTCTACATACCAATTTACAGCCATTGTTACCGCATTTAATTTCGACAAACTTTGATAAATTGTCACTATCTTATTGTCCCCATACTGTAAATGTTGCCGTCACTAAAGACATTGGTGTTTGTTAGTTTCTAATGAAATAGAATATTATTGTTTTCTACATTATGAAAACATGTCAGTTTTTCAATAAATATTTAGAGGTATGTAAGTTATATAAGTGTTTTGTGTGTGTGGAAAGTGGAAATCCTCAGTAGAGATGTGTGTCGCTTGTTTCAGGTGCAGCTATCAATGTCAGCAGACGTGCCCCTCGTGGTGGAGTACCGTATCCCGGACATCGGCCACATCCGGTACTACCTCGCACCCAAGATAGACGACGATGATAATTAGCATGTCTACTAGTGCGCTCTTTCCGAATAAAATTATGTTAAACTCCGTGCCTTATGGAAATATGTGTAATGATAAACAATAATGTGATAAGATTTTTGATAATAAAAGTTTTGGTCATCGAAAGCTTTTTTTTTTAACCCTTAAATGGGCGGTTGTATACATTCCAAGAACCATAGATTAAAAATATTTATATTATTTTTCCTTTATAATACTGGTCTTGCATTAAATATGATTTTTCGAAAGGTTTGGAAAAATTAAGCATTTAATGGCTAACTAACCAAGCATTTTTCGAGTTTCATTCATCATATTAAGCTTGCTAACATTATAAATGCGAATGTTTAGATGGATGGATGTTTGTTTGAAGGTATTCTCCAGAACGGCTGAACGGTTATCTATGAAATTTGGCATACACAAAGAACATGTTCTGGAAGAACATGCAGGCTACTCATTAACTTTTTTTCTAAATCCGCGCGGACGGAGTCGCGGGAGATAGCTAGTATATTATAAAAGTAACACAAATGTAATACACATATTGCAATCATTTATTTCCATTTATTATATCCATTAAGACAAAAAATCATGTTCCATGTTTAACATGAGTATTGTAAAAAAACAATCATCTTTTTAAACTTATTACTATAAATGGCGAACTTCTAGCTCTAAATTAAACTAAAATATTTCAACTTACATCTAAACAAATAAACGAACACAATTAGGAATGTAATAATTAACTACATCGAGAAATCAAATAAATATTATCTTCTTTAAAAATAAATTAATAAAAAAAAATTTACACTCTTATTTATTTTTTCTACACGCAATCACGCAAAGTTATCTTAATATTCGCAGACAAATATTTAAAGAAACCTTAAAAATGTGAAATTTGTTTTTAAATTATAATATAACGTCAAAAGCACACTTAAATATATTTTAATTATCTTATACTTAAAAATAAGCTTAAATTTTTAATCTTAAAATATACATTAAATTATGAGATCTTATACAAAAATAATTTTATATCTAGAAATCTTAAAGATACAACATAGGAGGGTGGGCAGGTTAATACATTGAAGATTATGCGCGAACACCGACATGAAAAAAGATCTCTGGTTGAGAAAATACTTTGGTCTTATAAAGCTGAAATTACGTACAGATTTGATATTTTTTTACGAGAAAGTAACTAATTAAACTATGTTCGAATGTTTAAAATTTGTGACAGAATTATCGCAGCTACTTGAGCTAGAGTGAGATACATGTATTCGCAAACGCGATAGGTGTGAAAGAGAAAGAGCATTTTCCTTGGTAATTACAATCGCGTTGCAAAATACAGACAGAAAAAATGGTGAAATTAAGAAGTGTTATTTATAATGACATTTTATGTAAAAAGTAGACATTCAGAATGTAAACTTCATTGACATAAAATGTCATATAATAGTGAATGTTGAGGAACCAGAGATCAATATTGTATATGTGGTGTCGGCATTACTTCCACTTCTTGGCAGAGAAGAGTACCGCGCGCTGCTTGAGGAAGAGCGAGTAGCTCTGCTTGCGCAGCGCCGCCGCTGCCTCCCGCTTGGTGCGCTCCGCGACCGACAGACCCGCGTACGTTGCGGCCGCTGCACCGCGCGCACCGCGCCCGCCCCGCACGCCCCGCACGCCCCGCCCGCCGCGCCGCCCGCGACCTCTACCTGCACACAACAACACCACACGTTCAACATTCACTGCTTCATAATTACTTATCTTACTATTAATATAAATGAGAATCTTTGGATGGATGGATCTCCAGAACAGCTCCATTAATCTAGCTGAAATTTGGCATATATGTACAATATAGTCTGGAAGAACCCACAGGCTATTAATAAAGGTTTTTTTTATCATTTCGCGCGGACGGAGTCACGGGCGACAGCTAATCTATTTATTAATAAAATTACAGTGTCTATGTAATATTGAAAGTCGAAACAAAAACGTATGTAGTACATCCAATTTTTAAAATTTGTTTCTTTGTATGTCTGTCCGTAAGTTCGCGTTTGTTCAGTGCAATCTCCGGAACTGCTGGACCGATTTTAACGGGACTCGGACGGGAAGGTTAAGCTGATGCACGCGAGCATTTTATATGCTACTTTTATTTCAGCCCTAACAAAGTTGCGGGACACTGCTAGTAAAAAATAAGGATTTTATGTTGTTTTTACTATGTGCTATGCAGTACATACCTGCCCCCCCTCCGCGTCCTCATGGTTCCCGCTTGACCTCAGAGGGCCCGGGCTCGTCGAGTGCGGGCGCGCCCTCCTCCTCCGCCAGCTGGTCGTGCAGAGTGCGCAGGTGACGCAGCAGATTCGACTTCACGTTGAAGCCCTTGTTGCACAGACCGCACACAAACGGACGCTCCCCTGACACATACACAACAAGTTAAAAAAAGACAATATTATTTTTTTGTACTTTGTACTATTTATGATGATTTTGTAATGTATGTATAGTACCATGTTGAATTTATTCTGTAAGAATGTTAAATTACCAATATATTAAAAAAACACTCTACTCAAGTCTTCAAGATAAATTCATAGTAATAAGTAGACGTTTGTAAATCAGTTCAAAAGATCAGATCACATAGACTTGAACCGTTGAGTTGCGGTTCAACAACTAATTTGGCAGCTCGTCGCTCATCATGATGAACTATAACTGTTAAGAGCCGATGAGCTGTGAGCTGCCTGCTGACTTGTAGTTTGCAGTTCGAAACGTAAATCATAAAACTATGCAGGTACAGAGCCGAACTGCGAGCCGATTTACTGATCTGCTTTATATATTTAAACTGTGGGGTGATCAGCAGATCATTGAGTTGAGTTGAGTTGAGTTGCGCAAGTATAAATATATATTCACCTGTATGTGTGCGCATGTGTATGAGCATGGAGGCGTGCGAGGGGAATATCTTCTTGCAGTGCGAGCAAATCTTGTTTTGCGCGCCCTCTGTGAAACGATTGTGACGTTTTGGTGGGGCACTGTTGTTTGATATGGCCAATTCTAGACAACCGATATTCATCATTAACTTTTTTTTTACATTACAAACGCTTCATCGCTAACTATAACGTTTGTAACGCTTCGTTTCATACACGCGGTAATGAATTTTATAGAAAACAAAAAAAATGATAACGAAATTCGAAGCAATACAAAGCATTTCAAGAGTTATACATTTTTTCATATAAAAAAAACATAACTGAAGTGATTATTATGAGTGTAGCGAGGCAAAGAGTCGTGGAAAAATAAAAAAATAATTATAAATAAAAAGATAGATGGCGTTCAGATCGCGCCGCGTATATCCTTCGTTAGTTTGGTGTTTGTCGAGAATCAGCCACATGCACAACAATCAGATTTCAGCTATGTTAGCAAATATAGTAACACTAACTGGATATACCTGTTACAAATACACAGTATTGTAATTTAAAAAAAATCTAGTTATAATATAGTCAACCGGGATAGTGTAGTTTCCCAAGAGTGAAACTTTCAAATCAGTAAGTTAGGGACCCTATTCAATGCAAACAAACAATCAAATCATTCCTCTTTATAAAATTGGTATAAGTAACAGAATAATAACGTGAAAAAAGTCACTAAATATCAGGTTGAACTTGCTTCGTCAGCCGGAGTGTTCAGATCTTACAAATTTACACCATTGACGGAATATTGTATATCAAAGCTATGATTTATTAGAAGAAATAAAACATCTTTATATAATATCACATAGTGGCAAAATTCATTAGTATGACTGTCCATTTTCCATGATTATAAAGTGACAGGACATGTACAGACCTGTCTCGGTGTGTGTGCTCTGTATATGACGGACCCATTGCGCGGGATTGGGGAAATGTTTCTGACACAAATCGCAACGTAACAACGCCGTCGTCTCTTCCGTGTCATCACTCTGGAATATAACGTATATTTTAAGAAAATACTACTAAATTATAATATTATTTTTAAAGACAAACCTAAATTTAACACTTTCACTGCCATCTCCTTGCAATTTTATTTTTATGTAAAAAAGCTTATTTAAGTACCATTAAAAATATTAAAGTTTATAAATATTTTTTTAAAATTGTAGTTTGTAAAATTATTACTGAGAGGCCTGGTCATCCATCTCATAGGGTAGCATCCCAGTTTTGTACCAGTCCCGGTCCATAGGGAAAAAGAATTAAAGATATTTTATATAGATTTTGTTGATTGTGACGATGTTGGCAGTACTTACTGCGGATCTGGCCTTGCGTTTGCGCGCGTGCGCTTGGTCGGAGTGCGCATGTCCCTGCACGTGACGCACCCACGCGCCCGGCACCGTGAACACCTCCGCGCACAGCTCGCACGCCAGAGGACTGTACATCTGTAACCAAATCCTCTTACAATCTCATCTATTGAATAACTGTGCATGGGGGTGCAATGGGGACTAATTAACTACTCTCTTCCTCTTAACCCTTTTCTTTTAAAGTAAGGATAGGAAGGGGAAATATTCTCTTTCTGTGCATCCCATTCTATGTTGATTAAAGATAGGTAATGCATTTGTAATTGCAGATGTATATGGATAGAAGTCGCTTCGTTATTTCAGCAAATTCTAGTGGCTACTTGCTTGTTTGCAATGTTGTGATATAAAAAAATTGTCATTGATAAGTCATCTTGCCTTGCCTTTCATACTTTACATTGTACAAAATCACTTGCGACAAACTCTCTTTATAACTGCTACATATAAAGCCTAATATCAAATATTTAATACTGTTGTCTTTCTTACCAGTCCCTCCTCTTCAATATCCATGTCATCAATAGGTTCAGACTTGACTGTCATCTCTGCATGGAACATCTCTGCGATGGAGGTTTCCTCCTCTTCAATGCTGCTTGCATCCCACTCTGGTTCCTCCTTTATCTGCACCTCGGTGGACACTTCTGTGCTATGTGATGATTTCTCTGTATAAAAGTCAAAAATAGTTAGAATTGTATTTATTGATTGCAGTGATAACACATTTTTTAAACCTACATGGATTGTCCATCTTTTTTTTGATTCTCATATAATATTCAACAATTCAACTAAGTAACAGTCATGGTACAAAATGAGCTCCTCAATTATTTGGTGGTTAATGCTAGAGCTAACGCTAGGACTCTATGCTAGAGCTATGCAAGAATACATTTCTAAACTGGGCAGTTTGCTAGTGGAATAGAATGAAAAAACTGAAAATTTGGGACAAAACATAATCATACTTGACGTCTCGGATATGTTGTCCTGAATATCTTCACTATCCTTTGCTTCTTCTGTCTCCTTTGTGTCAGTCTTTTGTCTCTTTCCATATTTCTTTTCAGCTGCATGTCTTCTTAGTACCCTAGTGGGGGGAGCTTCATCTGGAGAATCATCAGATATAGTGGTGGTAGATCCCACAGTGATGCTTGGAGTAGGTATTGTTGTGACAGAGGAGGTCATGATCTCTGGTTGTGGGGTATGTGCCACTAGAATAGTTTGACCTTTAGAAGTGCAAGGGCGTAGTGCTGTAGTTCCACCCTCACTGGTCTTTATGAACACCAGCTTAGGTGGTCCAATGAACATTGGCCTAAAAAAAATTTAGTAAATCACTTTTTGTTAGGCAAAATAAATGATGTTTAAATATAAAATACATTAAAGTAAGGAATTAAAAGACAAGGCACTTTGAACCAGGAATAAGTAAAAACAAAATTCCATTAAATTTTCAAAAAAAAAATTAAGATTAAAGATAAAATGTTCAGTACTTAAGTGAACCTTTGGCTGTTTGACGACTTTATTTATATTCACAATGTCGTACCTAGTTACACCCTGCTGTTGCGCTGGATTAAACGTTTTCACTATTTTATCATCTTTCTTAATGGCTACTTTTGCTTGTACTTCCTCAGGTTTCTTAGCAACGGCCATTTGCTTGTTGACAATAGTTTGTGAGGCTATTGTTGTTGCTTTATCAGAAACAGCGGTTTCTTCATCTGCTTGTCTCCATAGTCCTCTGATCTTTAACACCTCACCTGCCTTTAAAACTGTATCTAGGACTTCATTAGATACTGTTGTTTCTCCTGGAATAACAAATTTAAAGTGTTTAAAACTTAAACAATTCATGAAGAAAAAATTACTTCTAGAAAATATTACAGTAAGTATAATAGATCAAAAATTAGAAAACTAGTGTGAAAACACAAACCTTTATACATATATTCAACAAGGATTTTCAACGCCTTTGTCGATATTTCTGAAGGAAGTACAACGTACAGCAATCCGCCCATACGATTGACTGCCCGTTGGCTCTCCAAAAGAGTGCTCAAGTAAACACTGCATGAGCTTAGGATGAACTTGTGCGCAGGTATCTGTGACCCATCCATCGTACACAGAACCACGTCCGTAAACCGCTCCGATCGGAGCAAAGACGCCACCGATCCATTTAAATGCGAACTGTGTGAGTGCCATTTCAACTGATAAGTGTCCGTCGAAGTCATTTTAATCCCATCACACGATCTATGAAACATATAAACAACATTGAAAATTACCCAAACACCGGTTTATATACAAAGAAACAATTACGCATTTAAAAACAACGCAAAAGTAACAAGCGAATATGAGAAATATTCATTTAATCACACACATATATTTAACATACTTTAAACATTTACTGAAGCAAAATAAAAATAATCTAAAATCTCACTTATAATCTAAACTTTCAAACATCAAACAAACCAAACTGGCGCGGTAAATATGGCGCTGTTGTCGCGGTTAGTTCTGGTAGGATACATGCTTTATTTATAGAAGGAGAAGAAAACAGAAAAAGGAACAAAATAAGGCGGCGGTTTTTCGTCCACCGAAGCAGTAATTTTAGACACTAACAATTTCATTTTCCATAATTATTGGAACCGAATCGGAAAATAAATTTAATTTGAACGTAATTTCATCAACACCAATTATTTATTATATTCATTAAAAAAATTAGACAATTGTCTATTCAGAACGATAATTTTTTTATGTTTGTTTACTAGTTTCAATACAAATATTACCTTAACTGTCCTTTTATTCGCTAAAATTTAGGGCGATGAATAAAGACTTTCATTTTTTTAAATTCGAGAACTAGGAAAAATATTAACTGTGTGCGACGTAGTAATACGCGCAACCACCGCGTGCGACCCTCGAGTCTGGTGTGCGGCGGCTGCGGCTGCAAAAATCGATAGAATTTGTATTGATTTAACTCCAAAAGCGGGGTTGCGCGTATATCTCATCGATCGAGGCGGACGAGCGTCGGCAGGAGCGGGGCGCGCTTGCGCCATGCGCTTGGGGCGCGGAACCGAGCGTTGCCGGCGCCCGCCCTGCCGTCGAGCGTGTCGCAACACCACCCTGTTCACGCGCAAATTGCTGCTTTTCATGAATTCCCAGTACCTACTATACTATATTGTACTTATATCTCTATCTATCATCTATCTATCTGTCTTCGCCGACAAATACATAAATACGTAATTAGGAACTCAGTACTTTATATGATTAATAAGACAAAGCAATAACAAAATTAGTCTGTTGCGTCATATACTTGTATATTTTTACTTTTACATTGAAAATCGAACCCTAGACTTAATTCGCAACTAGAAAACAGTCTTAGAGCACAGTTTCATTATTAGAAAACTATTCACGCATGCCATAGCGCTCGCATGCGAGTACCGTTTTCATTAGTCGTTAGGAACCACATGCGTTGGCCGACAGTCTTTACTGCGTAATATTCTTCAACTGAGTCTCCGCAATGTACTATTGAAATTACGCCCTTATGCATCGTTCACTGCCTTAAAAATCAAACTGACTTTTGCTTTCATGTACGAAATAGCGCCATTTATTGGCTAAATTTTATAACAAGGATATACCGACTAAACTGTTATTTTAAATCTTTCTTATTTTAGAGCATATTAAAGAAGATCGAAAAAAATATTTAGCAATGTAAAAAAGGCGTGTAAGATTTGACCTCTTTTCTCTCTAATAACCAGACTAATTCTTGTTACCCAACTTTTAAAACGCACACAATAGATGGCGCTATTAAATTTTAAAGAGCCGAGAAATCGGGTTGTTTTTTTTAAAATTAATGTTAGGTTATTCCAAATTGTTGTTTTATGATCATTTATTTAATAACGTTACGGTTCGTAGGTCCACTCTGACGAAGTAGCAAGCATAAGGTAGTAACTAATACGAGCACTTACTCGTCTGTTGATTTATTAACATAATCAAATGCCGCTTCACTTTTCTGTTGTTTTTGAAAATCAGGAGGTATTTTAATTGCTGTAAATAGTTTATAACACTGCGGATGATATCCTCCGTTTAATGTTACATCTGAGAGTTCTACTTTATCATATGAAGTGCGTAATTTTCTTCGAACCACTTTATTTTGACGATACTCCAAAACCGCCTTACATTTATTTATAGTTTCTGACGTGAATTTAATAACTTTTTCAAATGTTTTTTCTTGTCTACAAAATACACAATTCATATTATTATCACTCATTGCCGTAGCACATTTAAAATGTATTCCGCATTCAAGTCACCAAACTATTAACACTTTAAACACGCACGAATTATTCTTAGATCAGATCAGATCAGCTGTGATTCACTGTAGCCAATGAAATTTTTTACCCGGCCGTGTACATTGTGTAAAAAGCCATGTTTGTATGGTAGAAGATCAACAGTTGTATGGAAGATGTTCAACCTCTTAATTTTAATACCCAACTAAAACGTTTGTTTTTATGAATGTGAATTTGTATGTATGTAAATCCCATTGTGACGGCCTAGAGCATAAACGACTCTACTTTTAATGATTCCGACGTAAATAATAATTTTTCACATAGTTTTTTAATCCACAAAATATACTATCCACATTGTCGTAGCACATTTACAATTATACTGCATTTAAGTCACAAAAAAGCACAAATGCGTTGTTCTTAGATCAGATCAGCTGTGATGGCATGTTAATTCACGGAAAGTAGTAGGGGAACAGTGCACAAGAGTGAAAGAGAAAGAATGAGAAGAGACGAAAGACAGGTGTGGTGCGGATTTTCAATAGACATAATTCTCAACAGCTTCACGTCAAAATTACTAAGCTTTTTTGCAAGTTATCGACATTCCTATTTACTTATTTTGAAGTGCAAATTGGCAGATTATTGCAATATAGACTTTTCTACATTATTAACCCACAACATATTAATCTTACGGCCTTGAGTTTATTTAACGATCGATTATATTTCTATTCTGATCGGCGGACAAAACGCACGATATTATATGAAGGGTTCACGTGTGCTGGGGTGGGTGTACTTGGCGTGGTATGAGTATTCCCCTTTTCGTATTCTGCCACTAAACAAATTCTAAAATCCCCGCTTCTATAAAATCTTACAAACGCGTGAAAATCATTACCCTTCTAATTTAGTCGGGTAAAAAAAGGTATTTTTTTTCTAAACCATGAATAATATAAATTGTTATCGGATGAGCTCAAATTTAAGTGAACATTAAGCTTAATTTTGTCATCACTTGACTAAAATGTCGTAAACGTATCTTACTAATGTTATACATGCGAATTTTTGGATGGATGGACGGATTGATGTTTGAAGGTATTCCCAGAACGACTGCATCGTTCTCAATTAAATTTGAGATAGATGTAGAACATAGCTTGAAAGAACACATAGGCTAGTAATTAAGTTCTTTTTGCAATCCGCGCGGACGGAGACTCGGGCGACAGTTAGTGTTTTATATCTACGTATGGAAAAGTACAGAGTCTCTGAACTTTGGCTTACTAGCTTTTCTCGCGGCTTAGCCCGCGCGGACTAATGATAAATATTTAAAAATAAAATCTTAAGGATAAGAAGTGAATACTTGTGTATTTTTTGTAATAGTAGGTTATATTATGTTATACGAAGATTAATTACTTTTTTTGTGCAAAATAGTTTTTATTTTAATAACAGTATAAACTATATACTACTCATGAGTCAGAAAATGAATTATCGTTAATAAAGAGTCGTTCATTATCGTAATAAAAAAGTAATTCAGTAAAAAAGTAAATTAAGAACATATTCACACATCTCTTACTCATCTATTATTAGAGAGCTAACCAATCAACGATTACATTACGCGCCAAATGAAGATCCTTACGCAGACATGTTTTTTTTAAGACAATGATAGGGATGACAACATACTTATGTTTCTATTTTTGAACAGGAGCATTGGCAGTGGAAACGCACGGTTATATAAATCTAATATTGTCTAGTCGAATTTGATTCGTGATTGCAGCTGATGTCTTTTTTCATACAATTCTTCTTTTTTTAAATGGTGGCAAACAAGCAAGCGAAATAACCATTGCCAATAGACAAATTCAGTTGCAGATGCGTTACCTACCTTAAATCGACAGGGCAGGGACGCACAGAAAGAGGATATTTCCTATTCGTATGCGTCCCCTCCTCTACCTAATATACCTTCCCTTCCCTTTCTTTTAAGAAAAGGGTGAAAAGAGGCAGAGGACTAAAATTAGTCCTCCGAGACATCAGACGCAACGCGTACTTCCATTTTACCTCTGTGTTATGTGTAAACATGGTATTATCCAGTCAAGCCTGTCCATTCGTGTAAAAGATATAATTCCGGCCTCGACTACTGTTAAACAACTTAAATACTTACATTAATTGTGCATGTTGTCCAATGTTTAATGATGATTCGATGAAAAGTTTTGTCTATGGAGCTTTCCTGCGGATTTAACTTATAAAGTATATTGAAATATAATTAATAGTTAATCTAGTTTTATGTATACTTGTAATATAGCCGTGTAGCGTATAGAATAAGACGCGTCGCAAAGCCGAGCCTGCGTAAAGCGGTCGACTTGCGCCAATCGCGTGCGCAGACATTATTGATTTTCACAACGTGAACCCACTGTCGACCCCACGGCCGACGCATTTCATCCCCCTTCGCTCTATAACAATACCTATAACTACTATTGCTGTTGCCTAGTCGGTTCATATTGATTTATTGTATTTTCGTAGCTTATGTTTTGTCTACACTTAGAATAATTTTTTAACTATTTATGCAATACTGCTTGGTGAAACTTATTTAATTGTGAGCCTAATTTTTATTTTATTTTTCACTGGCACATTGTAATTTATATGTAAGCGTAACTCTGATCCAAGAACAAAGGAACCTCGAAGCTTGTCTCGCAATTGCACCGTATCTCAATTTAAAGAAACTTCTATTTATCTCATAACGGGAAATGAAAAACTTTGATTGGTCATAATTTAATTTTAATCATATTAAATAAAATGTATTAAGTATTTGATGTCATATATTCAACTTGCCCATATTTTCGCTTATTTTAATTTTAACTATTAAAGTTAGATATATTTCTATTCCAAGGTCAACGTCCAGAAATGGAAGACCACGAGTTGCAGCATATAGTAATAGGAGTTAAAAGAATGGTTAAAAGGACTTATTTATTAAGAAAAAGTGGAAATTTTTTCTTTAAAACAACATCTATTGATCTAACTACTACTTCAGAATCTGTTTCATTCCAATGGTTAGAAAAAAGGTGGCAGTGTTATAAGTCAATACGAATCCAAGTTCATGTGAAATGTTCATATATTTGCTTATATTCTGATGATATTAAAAACTGTCTATTTTTTCTTTGTTAAAAAAAACAGACGGAAATGTAGAAAAAAAGACAGTTAAGATTTTATAAGCTTATAAGCTTAAAACACGGTGAGCCTTTTCTATTCCTACGACTATTCTTTGATGATGGTGTGCCAATGTGTCAGTGTCACTGTCAAACCGACATTCGATTTGTGATTATGATTGTAATCCAAACTTTTGAGATGAATCGGCGATGAAAAAGAAGATACATTAGATAATTGAAATGTTTTGAGAATTTAATGATAAGTACTGACATAATGAATTCCCAAACTAAATCAGCGGCTCTTTCAGCCGATCTTAACAACTTCATATATGGCGTATCGAGAAGAAATTTTCAAAATGCACCGGAACTAACCAAAATTGGAATTTTGCTTCTTAAAAACTTTCCTGCCGCCAGAGATGCTGTTTTGGAGTATTTTGCTATGGTATTTCATGATGCAGTAAACGTATCATTAAATCATGGCGATTATGAAGTGAGTATTTTTTCTTTCATCATGATAAGATTAAGACTTAAAAATGTGCAAGTTAACTAAGTAACATAATATCTTGTATACTAAACAATGTTACAGTCGGATTCTAGTGCAAACGGATCTTTAGAGAGTGTGACTATAATTGGACCAGAATTATGCAGCCTCGGGGATACCTGGGCACCATTCATAGCACCCTGGTGCATCAATTTGATAATGGATATTGCCACTGATAAAGCTAATCTACCAAGTAAGTATATCTTTTATTTTGTATATTTGTAGTATATGTAGTTTGATAGTCTTCATTCCTTCAGTATGTGTTATTTATTTTTTGTACAGATGCAACTTTACAATCAACTGAACCTGTACGAGTATTACTGGATATAACAACACAAAACTTGACAATGTTGAATTCTGAAGAAAGAGCTAAATGCATTGACATGATGCTAGGTAATTTTTTTTTAATTTATCCATACAATTTTACAATACAAACATTTTTAAGTCAATGCTTTTAAGACAACTTTATTTGCAGTATTTGAGTTACAGGAAAGTTAACCTTCTCAAGAACCAATATGCTATAATGCTATGATATCAATGTTTAATCAAATCTTGTAGGTTGCCGAGCATGTTCTTGGGCAGTTGGTTGGGTGGGTCGTGCAGAACCAGCTCTAGTGGCCCCTAGGGCTTTGGCGCTAGGAGCTGATGCTGCAAGGGCAGTGCTAGCCCACTTAGCCAACCATCCCCCAGCATTATTCCATGTCAGAGCAGCTATTGTTGACCTTTTTCAAGTGAGTACTTCCATAGAATAGAAAAGTTTGACCTACAATCTTATCCACCTAAGCAAAACTGCCTACTTCACATTTTGTACTCTGACTAGTTAATGATGTCTTTGTAAATTGTTATAAAATACTAGCCGTCGCCCGCGAATCTGATGTTGGCTGATTCTCAGACCTACTCAATATTCTCACAAAATTTCATGAGAATCGGTCAAGCCGTTTCAGAGGAGTACGGGAACGAAAACTGTGACACGAGAATTTTATACATAAGAAGATAAATTTCAGGAAGCAATCAAAGAAGATGGTCAGCCAGAAAAAAAGCGTGAAGTTATACCATATTTGTTGAACTTGGCATCTAAATCTGATATAGTACTAAAAGCTCTAACACAGGATATTGAAAATACATGTAAGTTTTTTTTTATACTAGCTGTCTCCCGCATCTTTGTCTGCACAGAATTAAAAAAAGTAAAACAATATTAGTACCCTATGTATTCTTCTATACTATTTTCTATATAGTATGTCGAATTTCAGAGAGATCCGT